CCCCTAAGGGGGGGCCCGGGGGGGGAACCAAAAAACCCAGGGAACCCGGGGCCCCCCCGGGGGGGGGGGGGGGCCGGGAAAGGGGGCCCGGGACCCAGGCCCGGGAAAACCAAACCAAAGGGGGGGGGCCCCCCCGGGGAAAAAGGGGGGGGGCCCCCCCCCCGGTCCCCCCCCAAGGGGGGGGAAAAAAAAGGGGGGCCCCAAAAAAAACGATGGCCCCAAAAAACGGGAGGATGCCCAAAAAAAAACCCCCCCCCTTGGGGATTTCCCCCCGGGGCCCCCCGGGGGGGGGGGGAAGGGGGCCAAACCCCAAAAAAAAACCCCCAAAAGGGGGGGGCCAAGGAAAAAAGGGGGGGAAAAAAAACCCCCCAAAAAACCTTAAAAAACCCCCCCCCCCCCGGGGGCCCCCCCCCCGGGGGGGAAAACCCCGGGGGGAAAAAAAAAGGGAAAAAACCCGGGGGGCCCCCGGGGGGGAAAAAAAAAAACCCCGGGGGGAAAAAAAAAAATGGGGAGGCCGGAAAGGAGCCAAGGGGGGAAGGGGGGCCAAAAAAGGGGCCCCCCCCCCCTCCCCCCGGGCCCAAAGGGGGGTGGCCCCCGGGGGGCCAAACCCCCCCAAAACGGAGCGATGGGGGCCCAAAAGGGGAAAAAAAACCCCCGGGGGGCCCCGGGGGGGCCCAAACCCTTTTTGGGGGAAAAATTTTTTGGGGGGGGGGGGAAAACCCCAAAAGGGGGGGGCCCCAAAAAAAGGAAGGAAAGGGGAAACCAAAAAAGTAAGGGCCCAAAAAAACCCCCCCCTTTTTGGGGGGGAAAAAAAAAAGGGGGGGGCCCCCCCAAGGGAAAACCCCCAACACCAAATTTAAAGGGGGAAACCCGGGGTTTAAAAATCCTTTCCCTTTTTTTGGGGGAAAAAAAGGGGGGGGAAAAAAAAAAAAAAGGGGGGAAGGGGGAAAAAAAAAAACCCCGATGGTTTAAACCCCGGGGGGAAAAAATTTTAAAAAAAAAAGGGGGGGGGGGGGCCCCCCCCCCGGGCCCGGGGGCCCCCAAAAAGGGGGGGGAAAAAGGGGGGGAAAACCCAAAAAGGGGAAAGGGGGGGGGGAAAAAAAAAAAAGGGGGCCCAGGGGGCCATTGGGGGAAAGGGGCCCCGGGCCCAAAAAGGGGGGCCATTTGGAAACCCCCCCAAAAAAAAAAAAAAAATGGGGGCCCCCCCCGAAAGGGGCCCCCGGGAATTCCCCCCGGTTTTCCCCATAAGGGGGTGGAAAAAAAAGTTTAAAAAAGGGGGTCCCCCCCCAAAAGGGGGTTAAAAAAAAGCCCCCCCCGGCCCCCCCTTTTGGGAAAAACCCCCCCAAAAGGGGGCCAAAACCAAAAGGGGGGGGGCCCCTTTAAAAAAAACCCGGAAAAGGGGAAAAAGGCCCTTTCAAAAGGGGGGAAAAAACCCCAAAACCCCTTAACCCAGGCTCCCCCAAAACCCGGGTGGGGGCCAACCCCCATACCCCCCCGGGGGGGTGCCCAACCCATGGCCCCAAACCCCGGTGGGGATGGCCCCCAAAAAACCCCCCCGGGGATTGGGGGGGAAAAAAGGGGGGGGGGCCCCCCCCCCCGGGGGGAAAAAAAAGGGGGGGGGCCCCGGGTTTTCCCGGGGGGGCCCCTAGCGATGGCCGACCCAAAACCCGGGGAAAGGGGGCCAACCCCCCTGGGGAAAAACCCCCAAAAAGGGGGCCCCCAAAAGGGGGGAAAAAAAAAGGGGAAAAAAAAAAAAAACCCCCCCCCCGGGGGGGAAAAAAGGGGGGGGCCAAAAGGGGGCCCCAAAACTCCCCCCCCGGGGGGGGGGGGGGGGGGGAAAAAAAAACCCCCCCCCCGGGCCCGGGCCCCAAAGGGGCCCAAACCCCGGAGCCAGGGGCCCCCCCCAAAAAAACCCCAACCCTTTTGGGGGGCCCCTTAAAGGGAAAAAACCCAAACCCCCCGGGGAAACCCGGGGGAAAAAAAGCCAAAAACCCCAAACCCTTTCCCCAAGGAAGGGGGGGCCCCCCAAAAAAAAACCCCCCCAAAAAAGGGAACCCCCCGGGGAAAAAAACCCAAAACCAAACCCCCAAAAAACCCCGGGGGGAAAAACCCCCGGGGGGGGGGCCCGGAAAAAAGGGGGGGAAGGGCCCGGGGAAAGGGAAGGGGCCCCCGGAACGATCCCAACCCAAAAAGGGGGCCCCGGAAAAAAAAAGGGGGGGGAAATTCCCGGGGGATGGCCCCCCGGGGGGGAAAAAACCCCCCAAAAAACCCCCCGAGCCCTTTTTGGGCCCGGGGGGGGCCCGGGTTTTTAAAAAGGTCCCCCCGGGCCCAAAAAAAAACCCCCTTTCCCCCCAAAAAGGGGGGGGGGGGAAAAAAAAAGGGGGGGGGAACCCCCCTTGGGGGGAAAAACCCCCGGGGGGGGCCCCAAAAAAACCCCCGGGCCCGGGGGGGGGGAAAAAGGGGGGCCCCCCCCCCCCAAACCCCCGGGGGGCCCCCCCCCCCGGGGGGAAAAACCCTTTCCCAAAAAAAACCCCCCCCTTTTTTGGGGGGGGCCCTCCCGGGCCCCCGGGGCCCCCCCGGGGGGGGGGGGGGGAAAAAAGGGGGGGGGGGGAAAAAAAAGATTTAAAACCCGGGGCCCCCAAAAAGGGAGGAAAAAAACCCCCCCCCCCCAAAAAAAAAACCCCCCCCCCCCCCCAAGGCCCCCAAAAAAGGGGGGGGCCCCCCCCCCGGGGGGCCGGGCCCTTTTTTAAAAAAAAAACCCCCCCCCGGGAAAACCCTAGCCAACCCCCGGGCCCCTTCCCCCTAAGGGGGGGGAAAAAAAAAAAAAGGGGGCCCCCCAAAAAAAACCCCCCCCCCAAAAAAAGGGGGGGGGGAAAAAAAAGGGGTTTTAAAAACCCCAAGGGAAAAAAACCCCGGGGGGGGGAAAAGGGGGGGCCCGGGGCCCCCCCGGCCCCATCCCCTTTTTCCCCCCTAAACCAAAAACCCGAAGGGGGGGCCCCCGGCCCAAAAGCCCCCCCCAAAAAAAACCCCGGCCCAAAAAAAAAAACCCCTCCCCCAGGCTTTCCCCCCCCCCCCCAGGGAAAACCCCCCCCCCTTTTTGGGGGGGGGGCCCCCCGGGGGAAACCCCCCCTAACCCCCCCGGGGAACCCGGAACCCGGGATTTGGGGCCCCCGGGGGAAACCCCTTTTAAAAAAAAAAAAGGGGGCCCAAAACCCCCAAAAAACCCCCCCCCGGGGGGGGGGGGCCCCCCGGGGGCCCCCCCCCGGGGGAAAAAGGGGGGGGAAAAAGGGGGGCCCGGGAAAAAAGGGAAAAACCCTTGGGGATGCCCAAACCCCCCTTCCCGGGCCCGGGGGCCCCCCCCCAGTGGGGATGGCCCCCCCCTTCCCAAACCCTTGGGGGAAAAATTAAAAGGTACCCCCCCGGCCCCTGGGGCCCCCGGGGGGGGAACCCCCAAAGGGCCCCCGGAGGGGCCCGGGTGCCAAGGGGGAAAAAGGGGGGGAAACCAAAGGGCCCCTTCCCGGGGGAAAACCCCCTTTTCCCGGGCCCGGGGGAAAAAAAAAAGGGCCCCTAGGGAAAAACCCCTTTTCCAGCCAAGGGGGCCCCGGGGTTGGGGATGGCCAAAGCCCGGGGAAAAAAAAATTTTTTCCCCCCCCACTTTAAAAGGGGGAAGGGGGCCCCCCCCCCAAAAAGGGGGGGGGGGGGGGAACCCCAAAAGGGCCCCAAAAAAACCCCCCCCCCCGGGGGGCCCAAAAACCCCTTTGGGGGCCCGGGGGAATTTTCCCCCCAAAAAAAAACCCGGCCCCCGGGAAAAGCCACGGAAACGATGCCCAGACCCAAAAAAAAAGGGGGGTGAACCCCCCCAAAAAAAAAAAAAGGAAAAGGGGGAAAAACCCCCCGGTCCCATTTTGGGGGGCCCCCGGGGGGGGGGGGAAAAGGGGGGCCAAACCAGGGAAACCCCCAAAAAACGGTTAAACCAGGGGGAAAAAAGGGCCCCAAAACCCCCCAAAAAACCCCCCCCCCCCAAAAAAAAAAGGAGCGGTGCCCCGACCCGGGGTTTTCCGGGCCCTCCCCAAAAGGGAAACCAAAAACCCGGGAAAGGGAAAACCCCAAAAAAAGGGGAAAAACCCCCTGCCCAGGGAAAAAAACCCCCCAAAACCCGGGCCCGGTAAGGGCCCCAACCCTTCCAAAAACCCCCCCCAAAGGAAAAAAAGGGGGGCCCCCAAAAAAAACCCCCCCGGGGGAACCCCAAAATTGGGGAAGGCCCCCAAAAAAAAAAAACCCCCCCCGGGGGGGGGGGGGGGGGGGGGGAAAAAAAAAAAAAGGCCAAGGGGTTTTTGGGGGGCCAAACCCGGTTAAAAGGGCCAAAAGGGAAACCCCCCCCGGGGGCCCCGGGGGGAAAACCCGGGGAAAAAACCCCCCGGAAAAAATTTCAAAAAAATCCAAAAAAGGGGGGGCCCCCCAAAAAAAAAGGGGCCCCAAACCCTCCCCCCCAAAAAACCCCCCCCCCCAAAAAAAGGCCCCAAAAAAAAAGGGGATGGCCCCCCCCGGAGGGGCCCCAAGGGGGAAGGGGGGGAAAAAAAAAAGGGGTGGCCCCCCCCGGGGGGAAAAAGGGGGAAAGGGAAACCCCAAAAAAAAGGCCCCCCCCCAAAAAAAAAAAAAACCCAAATGGGGCCCAAAAAAGGTTAAAAAAAAGGGGCCCGGGGGGGGGGGGGGGAAAAAAAAAAGGGGGGGGGGAACCCCCGGGGGGGTTTTAAAAAGGGAGGATGCCCAAAAGGGAGGGGGAAAAAACCCCCCCCCCCCAAAAGGGCCCTGGGGAGGGGGGGGAAAAAAAAGGGGTTTCCAGGGGCCCTCCCCCCCCGGGGGGGGGCCCCCGGGGGGCCCCCCCCCCGAAACCCGAAAGGGGGAAAGGCCCCCCGGGGGGGGGGAAAAAAATGGGGGCCCCCCCCCAAAACCCCCCCTTCCCCCCCAAAAGGGGGAAAAAGGGGAATTTAAACCCGACCCTAGGGCCCCCAAAAAGGGGGGGGGGGAAAGGGAGGGGGCCCCCCGGCCCCCAAAAAGGGGGGAAAAAGGGGGGAAAAACCACGGGGGCGATAAGGCCCGGGGGTTTCCCCCCTTTTCCGGGGGGGGAAAAACGGGGGCCAAGGGGGGCCCCCCCGGGGGGAAACCGGGGGAATTTTGGAAAGGGAAAAAAAGGGGGGGCCCCCGGGATGCCCCCCAAAACCCCGGGGGGCCCGGGGCCCGGGGAAAAAACCCCGGGAGGGCCCCCAAAAAAAGGGGGAAAAAAGGGGGAACCCCAAAATTTTCCGGGCCCCCCCTTGGGGGGGGGGGCCAAACCCGGGGGCCCCGGGGGAAAAAGGGAAAAAAGGGCCCGGGAAAGGGGGCCCCCCCCAAAAAAAAAACGGGAATTCCCAAAACCCCGGTAGGGCCCAAAATTTGGGGAAAAGGGGAGGTTCCCCCAAAAAAAGGGGGCCCCCCCCCCAAAAAAGGGGGAAAAAAGGGGTGGGGTCCCTGGGGAAACCCCCAAAAACCCCAAAAAAAGGGGCCCAAGGGAAAAAGGGGGAAAAGGGGGGGAAAAAAAGGGCCCAAACCCGGGAAAAAAGGGGGTGCCCAGATGCAAAGGGTTTGGGCCCCCAAAAAAGGGGGGAAAAAAAGGAAAGGAAAACCCCGGGGGGAAAAAAATTTAAAAAAAAGGGGGTTTTTCCCAAACCCCCCCCCAAAAAACCCCAAAAAAGGGGGCCAAGGGCCCCGGGGGAAAAAAGGGGGCCCAAAAAGGAAAAAGGGGAAAAAAAAGGAAAAAAGGGGGCCCCCCCCCGGGGGGGGGCCCCCCCCCCCCCCCCAAAAAAACCCCGGGGGAAAAGGGGCCCCCGGGCCCCTCCCCCGGGAAAATGCCAAGGGGAAAAAAAAAGCCAGGCCCCCGGGGGGGTCCCCCGGAAAAAAGGGCCCCCGGGGGGAAAAACCCCAAAAAGGGGCCCAAACCCCCCGGGGGGGCCCCCCCCGGCCCAAACCAAGGGAAAACCCGGGGGGAACCCAAAAACCCGGGCCCCCCAAAAAAAGGGGGGGTTTTCCCCCTTTTGGGTTCCCCCCGGGGCCCCAAAAAAGGGGGGGAAAAAAAAAAAAGGGCCCCCCCCCGGGGATGCCCAAAAAGGAAAAACCCCCGGGAAAAGGGGGGTCCCCCCCCGGGGAAAAGGGGTGCCCCCGGGGAAAAAAGGCCCGGGTGCCCCCGGGGGGGAAAAAAAACCCCCCGACCCTACCAAACCGGGGGAGGCCCGGGGGGATGAAAGGGAGGAACCCCCGGGCCGGGGAAAAAAAAACCCCCCCAAAAAACCCCGGGGGGGAAACCCCGGGAAAAGGCCCCTAGCGATGCCCAAAACGGTAGGGGCCCCCCCCCCCGTGGGGATTTCCCCCCCCAAAGGGGGGGGGGAAAAAGGGGGGAAAAAAAACGGGGGGAAAAGGGGGGGGGGGAATTTTTGGGGGGGGGGGGGGAAAAACCCATACAGAAACCGTCATATAGAGCGGTCAGGCTGTATGACGGTTCCGTATAGGATAAAGGTTCGAATCCTGTTGAAGGACAAATATTCTCTACGAAAATTTCTCGGACATTCAGGCCGGTAAAAGTTAATTAATACTTTTTCTCTGAATTTTGCCAATAATGAATTTTATAGAAATATTTATGAATACGATTTGTTTGTACGAAAATCTCTAAATTTTGTCAATAATGAATTCTATAGAAATATTTATGAATACGATTCGTTTGTACCAAAATCTCTAAATTTTGTCAATAATGATTTCTATAGAAATATTTAAGAATACGATTTGTTTGCATCAAAATCTCTAAATTTTGTCAATAATAAATTCTACAGAAATTTTTATGAATACGATTTGTTTGTACGAAAATCTCTAAATTTTGTCAATAATAAATTCTATAGAAATATTTATGAATACGATTTGTTCGTATCAAAATCTCTAAATTTTGTCAATAATGAATTCTACAGAAATTTTTAAGAATGCGATTTGTTTGTACGAAAATCTCTAAATTTTGTCAATAATGAATTCTATAGAAATATTTATGAATACGATTCGTTTGTACGAAAATCTCTAAATTTTGTCAATAATGAATTCTATAGAAATATTTATGAATACGATTCGTTTGTACGAAAATCTCTAAATTTTGTCAATTATGAATTCTATAGAAATATTTATGAATACGATTTGTTTGTATCAAAATCTCTAAATTTTGTCAGTAATGAATTCTATAGAAATATTTATGAATACGATGTGTGTGTAACAAAATCTCTAAATTTTTCAGTGTTCAGTTAAATTGCTATTGTCTTGGATTTGGAAGAGACCCCAACAGTTTATGGTTCGTGTGTTCGTATGTTAATGAATATTCATCAAAGTTGTCAGATGCATATTCTCTCTGTCAGCTTGCGTGAATTTGCGCATTCATGTTTCTGGACAAGTATATATGTTATATATGTAAAAAAAATTGTTTTTCAAGTGTGACTATCAATACGAAAAACAAAATATTTTCGTTCTAATACATTTTTAATTTCATTTTTTTTTTTATGTAATCATTTTGTTCATTGATCTAATCCTTCGCGCCATCATCACCACATAGGTTTTCGGTATTCTCAAAAATATATGTTGCTATAAAAGCTGAGTAGGAGATTCGTGTCACAGATTTACTATCGTCTCTTATGTATTGAGTTTGAATTTTTATTTATTCATTTTTTTTTTACTTTTAGTAAAAGTTGTCGACCGTGAAATTTTATCATTCGTAGTTATTTCATATTCTACAAGTAAAAATACCGAGAGGTTTTTGAAAGCTATGATATTATGTACAATCGACTGTTAAATCTAGAAACAACACGTCTAATAAAAAGCTACAAAAAACAAGAATTGCTGCAACATCTTATTTACCTTTTTTACATCCAAAAAAAAAAAACAAGTAAAGCAATAAAGCCACTATAATAGAAAGGGGTTACTGGTTTTGAAAGAATTGGAATGAACGAGAACAAAAGAGCAATCAGGAGGCCAGTTGATAGCGATTGATACTGAATTTAAATTGTTTGAAGATTAAATTTGGCTGGAAAGCGTGGAAATGGAAAAGAGTTCCACAAGCGAGAAGTGCAAGAAAAGAAAATCTTATCATAGAATTTACAGTTGCATCTAGACAATTCAACTGTAAATTGATGTGACCTCGTCGCTGGTCTGGTATTGCGCTTAAATTCATTGTCTGGGCACCTTAGCGAAGAGCTCATTCGAACAATTAAAAAAACAAGGAAGTTCCAAAATATATCACTGATATATATATATATATATATGTGTGTGTGTGTGTGTGTATGTATATGTATGTGTGTATGAACATTTCTCAAAATTAACATTTAGAAAAAGACTATGTATTAAGTAAAAAGACAATAGAAAAACTGCAGTTTTAGCCGGCGCGTTTCGTCTAATGTAAACTTTTTCAAGGTGCAAAACGACATGAATTTATTGAAACAAAGTATCTGTAAGCAGCAAACAAAATGTCTTAACAACTAGAAGAATTTAGAAACTATAGTTGATCATATGAATACAATAGAGTTTCTAAATTCTTCCAGTTACTAAGACATTTTGTTCTTTATATATACTTTGTTTCAATAAATTCATTTCATTTCTTATGCCTCGAAAAATTTTACATTGGACGAAGCTATAACTTTAAATTACAATTTTCTATTGTCTTTATATATATATATATATATATATATATATATATATATATACAGAAAATACCATCCACAATGATTTCGTTGGATTGGGCGACATTTCATATGTAACTCATTATTTTCACCAATAATCATCACTATTTTCGATACAGTTTTGCCGCTATAAACAAGAGCTCTACATCTATGTGTCCCCCTGCTCCGCAGAGACACACACGTCGCATTACCCACTTCTAAGAGTGTTCACATCTATTATTTAGTTTTTATACATATTCAACAGGCATCTATGAATAGTCAATTTCACTATGGCTGATGCTTACCTTCCGGAGAGCAACTCAAATATTACTCGCCAGTTATCCACTGACATGAAGTGGAATTATTACATTAAACCGTTCTTTTCCACTGACTCCAAATACACACTGCACAACCCTGGGATTGAAGCTACACTCACTATGTCACCAAATTCACTCAGTGTAAGCGAGCGTGCATTAACTAAGCATCTCTAGGCATGGGCAGTGGGACGCAAAGTCGATTTCCGTAGCTTAAACAAAGCGTTCAGTTCAGAATTCCCTGCAGGTTACATCGAGCGATATAAACATGAGGAAGGCCGAAGAGCACAATAGCCGAAACATTGTAGTAACAGGACGAGGACAATAATCCGTATACAAATAGTGGCATTTGAAAATTTATTCAAAAACATCGCATCTGACGTGGCATCACGATTTAAGCCATATCTCACTACCGTCTCTATGACTTTTCTACAAATATTTTCATGGTAATTGTTCTGGGGAACTATCCCCTATTATACAAAGACTATACAAATTTATGCACAATCCTCGACTGACAGAAATATCTCATCATTTTACAATTGAAATGGCTAGATGTAACCGTAAGTTCTATGCTGACAGTTTCTTCTCTCCACTTCTCAATTGTAGAACTTACGGCTTATTGCTTCCCAGTCAACTTTGATCTGCAAAGATTTAAATCAAATATCAATCGTCTTCTGTTTTCTCAATTCGTGTCCATTAATTGTTTTCTCTCCGTATAATAATTTCACATATTTTCCTACATTCACTAATTTCCTGCGTCTTAGTGGCTTTATTACCCTACTTGGGGGTGAAAATGAAAGAATAAATACTGGCAACGTATTCGAAGCGTTGTGATAACAGAAAAGAAGAGGACAATAGTCCGAATACAAATAGTGCAAATGACGATAATTCTACATGCCAGAAATTCAAACAGAATGTTCAGCTGCTGTTTTATTTTATTTGCGAGAAAGGTTAACCACTAACATCCACCTGTGACGTCGTGGGCCAAACATAATACAATAATATGTATTACTTTCGGACTGACGTTCGTAAAATAACTCGCACGTGTCCCGGGAAATATATACAAAAGCTGAAACCAAAACAGTAGAAGGTGAACCCTTACCAAATTGACATTTAATTTACTACACATTGTCTTTGCTACAAATAAGGAACTTCATTTTTTTTTACTCTTTAACCCCCCCACACACACACAAACTATAATTAACAGAAGTTAGTGGAGAAAAAAGCGAAAACAAGTCTCTTTTTTCTTCCTGTATTAACTTTACGATTCTAGATGATTTTAGGAATGCTGTTTCATGAATGGCTCTTGCTATGCGTTATGTTCCTTCTGAAATAGATGATCACGGTTCTCCACCTCTTCCTAACCTTTGTAGCTCTAAGCATTATTTGCCCACTTAATATACATGCCAATGCCTATGATGACATCACTTTACATATGCTCGTTAGTTACGTTACACAACGATTCTTTCTATTCCTCTTGCCTTCAAGATATCATCTGAGTGTCAAATTTTCCAAGTTTCCTTTCGTCATTATGTGTCCGAACAATTTCAAATGTGTCTCCCTCTGATTCTAAATACAAATTTCGTTCTGTTCCCATTCTCCATATTCCTCGTATTCAGCATTCTTCTGTAGCGTCAAAATCTCAATTGTCTCAAGTTTTCTCTTCACTTGTGAGGAAATTTCCCAACATTCACTGCTGTATAGAAGGGGGTATATTACATAGTAATTTCATTTTTTTTCAAGCGAAATTGCCCCGTACCTTAATGATCTGTTTAACTTTTGAAATGAATCGTTCGCTTGCAACTCTTAGAAGGATTCGTTTTTTTTTTGCGTTTTTTTTTTTAGGGTTTTTTTTCTCCATTCCGTTTTAACGCCTTTCTGGAATTTTTCCTTTTACTTCTGTGCTATGAGTAAACCTTTTGCAATTTTTTTTCTCAAGGTCTGGTTATTATTTCCATCTTTTCACGTTCTCTAAATCGTTGAGTCTATTGTCTGTTGGAACAAAGGTAACCACCTTGATAAGCTTTGTTCTTGTTCATAACAAGAGGGCTCATTGGGGGATTCACTTGAAAACTCGATATAAATTTATGTTGCATTTTTTATTTATTTATTCCTTTATCATTTAAAACATACTTTTATCTGTGCTGATATGAAATGCACGCTGAAAAGTTCTCAGTCCAACCTTAAAGGGATTCTTAATTAATTCTGATTCCAAAATAATTCTGATGCTTAGACATCTGACTTGATTTTTGGAAAAGATTGCAATTGATATAGGTCTTCCACTCCTCGTACTTCTGATAAGGACGAGTAAACCATTCCCGTTTACACTGTTCACAGTGGATGACATTTCCCACCAATTGCTTTCCTGACGGTCACCTCATTTCTAACTCTTTATAGTCAATGCTTAGCAATTGGTATGTAGACTCTCTGGTATTGTCTCTGTGGGCTACATTAATACAGATTCTTTTTCTCTCTTCAAATGACCTCTTCGCAACTGTTTACTTGTTTCATCTGCAATTCATTCTGAATTACTATCTTTTCGCCTTCACGTTTTTATGGCTTTCTTAACCACGGCTAAGACTCCTATTAGGTCTATTTCAACTTGTTCAAGGATGAATACATATATAAATATGAGTTTCTGTGTGATATAAAAAGTTATATATATATATATATATATATATATATATATATATATATATATATTACCTTTTTATTATAAAAGATTATAATAAAAACACTTTAAATCGGTACAAATAAAAGCTTCTGTGTAGCCATTTAAAATGTTTTTATTATAATCTCTTATGAAAATATTATAATAATACTTTGCACTACTTTATATGGAGCACTTTTTTAAAAGTAAATGCTACGAACAGGAATTTTACTCCATTGGTACTTTCTCATATTTGAATATATATATATATATATATATATATATATATATATATATATATATATATATATATATATATCAATTGAGAGAAAGAACAAATATATTTAGTTTTTACCGTAAATATATATGTATACTTTGTTATAATAAAGACATTGAGCTCTCTGTTGATCAGTTTTAATGTTTAATAGGATACACCTTGATTATATACCAACGGTTCTATTACCAGTACTATATATACATGAATATATATATATATATATATATATATATATATGTGTGTGTGTGTGTGTGTGTGTTTGTGTGTGTGTTTGCGTGTGTATGCATATAAACGATATGTTTAGCGGATACATATATTTCAGATGCCCGTATTAGTTTGAATACGGAATTAATGGTCATAAAAATCGATGATATATATATATATATATATATATATATATATATATATATATATATATATATATATATATAAAGCCATCTCTCGATTTTAAAATCGCTGAAATCTTACATGTCTCCAGCATAAATCCTCTAGAACTTGGGGTTCTCGACTATGGGTCAATACCCCATGGGAATGGGTATATAAATGTTTCAAGGGGAAGAGAAAATTGTACTTTTTCTTGTTTTTATTTACAGAAGTTTGTTTGTTCAATCAAAATGCACTAAAATTTTATTGAATCTTTTGTTTATTGAAGTATGCATTAGTTTATTTATTTAATAATTTGTTATGAGTTAAAACAAATTACTGTACATGAATTCAAATTTTAAAAGCCATTATCATTTTATATTGCAATTTAATTTCTAAAAGTCGTATATAAAATTAATGTATATAATGTATATTTTCTTATATGGAAAAGAATTAAAATTTTCCGTAGTATATGTCTAGTATCGTATGCAAATAATTAGATAGACAAGTATAAATAGAGAACAACTGGCGAACATAGGCAACGGATGCTATTCAGGACACGGAGTACTATACTACGACTTCTGAGGTATGCAAAACATAACAGTATGCATATTATTTGAATGCAGATTTTCAGTCAGATAATATTGGAAAGGGGGAATGATATTCTGAGTGATGGTGAAAATGGTGCATTGGTCAAAAAAGATAAAGAAACACCGATCTCTTTGACAAAACTCCTTATCATCTTTTCTAGCTAATGCAATTTCCAAGGAAAATGAGAGAGAGAGAGAGAGAGAGAGAGAGAGAGAGAGAGAGAGAGAATATTTATGAAAAGCACATGACTAGACCAAGAATGTATTTTGAAAACTTGTCTTGGATCGTGCCAGTAATTCTTCAGTAACCTTATGTAATGTATTATTACTCTACATTGAAACTCCAAATACCTTGAGAAAAATAAGAGTAGATTTATTGCATGTTTTATTATTGTTTATCAACATTTTGTGGGTTATTTAAGGTTTAGAAAATATTTTCGGATCGTATTAAATTTTGAGACAATAATGACTTACTCATGCTAATTAATTCAGAGCTGTGGGAGAAGAGGTTGATTCATAAATTTGCTAAAAGTATTACCATGACTGGAATTGGAACTCGGCTCTCTGATTTCCAACTGTCAGTCATTATCCATTAACCTGACCGTATATCCAAACCTACAGGACTTGGTATTCCGAAATGGTTACGCGTTTTTTTTTTTTTGTCTCTGTATTTATACCCATGCTCCATTAATAATAGGTATAACAGTAATATTAAAGTACGATAGTTTTCATTTTATTCTCAAAATGCTTTTATTTGCTTATTTTTCCAGATTTATTAACAGAATAATAATAATAATAATAATATCTTTGAATATCTTCAAAAAACTGCCAAAATAAAAGGGACCTGGGAATCGAAATCTCAGAAATGTGACGCATGATGACTTTAACTATTCCACTTGTAGTTGGAGTCCTCGGATTGATTGGAAAAGATGCCTATGGACTCAGTGAAGGAATCCCTGGTCGCTCATGCCTTAAGCAAATACAAAAAAATTTACTCACAAGTACGGTATATACCTTACGAAGGGCCTAATCTATGTAAAATAAGTGTGTGTTTTTTTTCAAAATTGCCCAGCGGAAAATGTCATGATGCTATTTCTGAACATGTGTCTCTGTTCAGGATCCGGAAAGAAATTAGTATACACCAGAAACTAAAGGAAATAAAATAATAATAATAATAATAATAATAATAATACACGACAACTATGAATATGTTTTGCAAAGGGGTTTTAAAGAGATTTGTTTCCCAACTCTCCTAACATGTCCTTCAAACGAAACAAAAACATCAGACAAATGAATAGAAACGATAAAACTCAAAACCCAGTGGGTGTTTTCGATCGTTGTACAGTCAGAAACGAGGAAATCCTGTTTATTATGAAACACCATGTCAAGTCAATTCCATCACAAATTCGTTCATGCATCGAATATTGCTCTCACATCTGCTCTGGTGTTTCTCCAATGTAGTTAGAGATTCTTGATAAAATACAAAGAACCTTCAATGTTATTGGTCCTGACTTGAAATCTCGGCCTCAGTCATTTTTCAGCCGCCGTGACGTAGCTTCCTTGTGTCTTTTCTATAATAATAATTTTTGGTGTCTAGACTTCGCGAATTTAAGTGAGGATTACATTGGCGGCAAGGTCTCATTATTTTGCTTTTAAAATCGTTAGATGTAACTGTAAATTCTCTACTAACAGTCTCAGTGAACACACTTCCCAGCGAACACACATCTCGGCAAATATACTTCCGAGCGAACACACTTCCCAGCGAATATACTTCCAAGCGAACACACATCTCGACAATTATACTTCCCAGTGAACACACATCTCAGCAAACATACTTCCCAGCGAACCGAACACACTTCCCATCTAACACTGCGTAAATCTCTTCCGGTTTCTTGCTTCTAGTCAACTTTAATTTTCGAAAATTGAAATGTGATGTTAATCTGTCTTATTTTTTATTGTTCTTTTATTGGCCTCTCTCCTTAATGATGTTTTATTTTTCCTATTCTCTCACACTGAGCAACAACTTCAGTCATAGAGATTTTATAGCATTAATTGTGGTGAAAATATTTAAAAATATGTCGTGGCTTTCCAACCAACTTTGATTTTCAAAAAGTTAAACGTAATGCCAATCTTTATCATTTTTCTTCTCAATCCTTGTTCTTTTATTGTCCTTTTTCCTTTATATTTTTTTTTTCTTTTTCTCATGATTTAATCGCCACAAGTATTATGTCCGGCACACCAACATTCCATCAACAGAATTTGAGGAATATTTTATACCGAATGTCTACTATTTCTTAAGGTACATATCTGAAAAAATATCCAGTAGTCACCAAAATTTCAACCCTTAGAATATATAGAAATAACTCCATTGAAAAATTACTAATGTCCCACCACACGGGAATGAATAAAATGGCAGAAATATTACATATGTTTTGTTTAATTACTCTTACTAATTATTAAACTATCTCCAGGAGCCCGTTTCCTATCATGTTACGCACATATTAGTTGCATTCCATTCGCACTGACTGCTGTTAGGCTGATTATCCGTACCTTTTTTTTCTCCAGAGAGTAACATTTGAACAAAAGCTTGTAATTTTTAAATATTTTATTTTACATTCGTGTGGAATGTTTTTAAATATAATTTGAGGACAGGCAGTGTCGAAATATTATTAAACATTGTTAAACACTATTTATTTTCTTTTATTTTTCTAAATATCTCTCTTCTCTAATTATTGCATTAATAATGATAATAATGCATCGATTCAGTAGTAGGTTGACCGCAGTCGAGATTATAATCATCGTGAACTCTATGGCTGCATAAAGTGAGATAAGGGTTACATACGACTATCCTGCTCCTAGCCAGGTCGAAACTATGGTCCTTAGGCAATATAAGAGAATTGTCATTTAATTGATAGCACTTTTCTTAGTATATGGAATGTTCCTAGTAGAGCGATTTTCTGGCCAGATTTTATATTGATGTTACATGGAACAATGTTAGTAAAATTGTCCATTCCTTTTCTAACGAGGCCTAGAGATTCGATTACTATTGGAAGTCCTAGTCTTCTTTCCACAAATCCTGTTAATCAGGATTTCGACAATTTCTCGATAATTTTCATGGAGGTGTTTCTGTCAGATGATACTGCTCTGTCAATAAGCCAACACTTTATGATAATATCAGGTCTGTTGACATTTATTTGCCTGTTAGTTTGAATTGGTATGTCCCAGAGGATAGTTACATCGTTATTTTGGGTAACTGTGTCTGGGTGATTGCCATACCATCTCTCAGTGGTTTCAATTCTGTGCTTCTTGCCTATCTTTCAGTGCACATATGTCGCTTCCTTGTTATGTCTCTGGGTATATTCATTATTGCAAGTTCCGGACATCCTGAGATAATATGGTCGACAGTTTCATCATATTTTCCGCAGATGCTTTATTTCGGGTTAGTTCTACCTTTGATTATTTGACAGTGATAGGGTCTGATTACTTTCGTCCTGAGCTGTAATTATTATTATTATTATTATTATTATTGGCGCATGGTTGAATAATTTTAATCTTACCTTTCCCACAATGAGAACAGAATTGAAATCTTGTTCTTCAAGTTACGTTTGGGAGTCGACCCTATGGAGCGATTCTTTTGGAAAGTGCCTGAAAACCGTACCATGTGTTGACCCAAGCTTTGTTCCAAAGCCGACGATGGTTGGCCTTAGCCCGAAATCACAAGTCATGTCGTCGTACGCAAGGATTTGAGACTGCTGAACTTGCTCAATTTTTAATCACGGCAGATTAGGCGCTCTCTCCCAGAAATGCTGTTGTGATGTGGGGTCTAGCATGGGGTCTGGCATGAAATAACACCTAAATCAACAGAATCAGTCGTGATAGTAGTATTCAATACTCAGCGAGACAAGTCACTGCAATTGTATCATAGTCTTTACCCAGAACTACCTGAATGAATCAGTCCATTCATGATAGTAAGTAGGGTAACTGGCTCTTACCACAATAAACATTAACTAAAGTCAGTTCAGGTGAGAATAGTTACTGTATCAACCGTAGCTTAGCCCTGTGGATGCTAAGAAAAATGCCTGGTCAGGCGTCTACAACAGGAATTATCTAGTCACCCTAAAAGACACACATACTCTCAAATTGAATGACCTTATTGTTTTATGAAATATTGCCCTAATCAAAAATCTAATATAAATTTATTGAAAACCCCTGTTACCGGGCTAGAGATACCGATGTTCTATGCAACGGATTGTGATTATTTTCCCAATAATTTGATATTTCATTCTTAAACTACAAAATTATGTATCACAAACACTAAAACGGCATCAGTGTGAGTTCATCATCCTCTCTTCTGACAAATGATGCCCAGGAATTTTTGCTGAAGTTGACCAAAGAATGGTTGAAAACATTAGAATCAATGAGTACTATGAACGATTTCTGTATATTCTTTAAGCAACCATGCCCTTGTACGAAAACAAGAGAAAATACATAATAAATTAACCAAATATTCCTTGTCTATCGTATGAAATAAAGCATGTGTTTGAGTATGTGTGTATGTTGAAGGCGCTTTCAATTCTCCATATCCTTCCTAGTTCCAATTCAAAAGACACCGCTCTCTTTAAACCTACTATCTTTACATTTCTTTTTTCTTTATTTCCAAATTCTTCGCTTGTAGTATCAGTGAATTATTTTATTGATTTCTTTTACCTAAACCAACTCTCCCTGGTAGGTTCAGAAGAAATCAAAAACCAGCGTACAACCCTTGAACGTTTTTTTACTTATTTTTAGAAGCTGCTTGTTTTTATTCTTTTCCTTTTTTTTTTTTTCATTTTTGTTTAGTAAACGTTGAATGTCAATCTCATTATCTATAGCAAGATATCCACAGAAATATCAGCTTCTACAGAAGGTCAAATTGTTTACTTTCTTTCTTTAAAAAGTATTTTATATGCATACTATTTAGGTTATCGGTTAGTTTCTGGGTTTCATAAATGCAAAACTGGTTACAGAATAAATATTTGCCCTCTGACCTTAAAGAACATTCTTAATATAAAAAAAGGGGTGGAAGTAAATCTAAGCGATTACTAAATTCTATATCCACACATTAATTCACATACACCTCAGATCATAAAATATGGCAGAGTTTGAGATAAACTCCAGAAATGCCTAAAATCTATTCCTTAATCCGAAAATGTTGAGGTGGACGGAAAGTGAACTGTTTTTTTTTTTTCTTTTTTCTAATCTGTTATTGTACGACCTAAATTTTAATAAGCAATGGTTCTATTATCATTCAAAGCATATATACATTTTCTAAACACTCCGCATTCTTTGTCTCTGGTATATACATGCATCAATAGATGGGTAGCCTGATACTATATATATATATATATATATATATATAATACATAATAGGTTAATAGTCAGAGCTGAATCAGACCATGAAACAGCAGTATTAAAAAGTGCTCAATAAACGTGTGAAAAAATAAAGTAAATGTTAAAATACCATGTAGAGCTTTTAAAAATCAGGTCAACTGAATTCGCTTAACATATGTTATCCTCAGGCGATTTTTATTCAATCACCACTCAACACTTTATTTAAAAAAAATAATAATTAACGCTATATTATTATTTTTACAAAAAAATAAACAATTCACGACGTTGGATGTATGAGAAAGAGAGGAATAATAATAATAATGATAATAATAATAATAATAATAATAAAAAGTGCCTCCTTATTGATATTGCAGTCCCTGCTGACTGCAATGTATCTTGGAAGATATTCAAAAAGCTGTCAAAATACAAGGACCTTGAAATAGAAATCTCAAAAATATGGCATATGGGAACATCAACAATCCCTGTTGTAGTTGGAGCCCTAGGATTGTTCGGAAAATATTCCAGTAGACTAATTGAAGGGATTCCTGGAAGTCCATGCCTCAAAGAGATACAAAAAATTGTTTTGACAAGTACAGCCCACACTTTACGAAGGGCTTTATTTATGTATTTTTTTTTTTTTTTTTTTTGTCAGTGGAAAGTGTCATGATGCCATTTCTAACCTTACGTCCCTGAGCGGGACCTAGAAAGAAATGTGTAAACGCCAGAAATCAAAGAAAATAATAATAAAAATAATTTTCTAATATGTAAACAGGGATATAGAGCTCGGATTACTGTTTTAAAACGTTCTTTGGATCCGGAAATATCATAATTGCTTATTTTCCCTGTGGGCAGAGGTTGCAAATATTGTTGTGATTGTTGTAAGGCTTTAACCTTTTTTTTTTTAAATTTTCCACCTCGCCTGACTATAAAACCAAGGTAGCGGATTCAACTGAGCTCCTGATTTTTTTAAATATATATATATATATATATATATATATATATATATATATATATATATATATAGATAGATAGATAGATAGAAAGATATATATATAATATTATAAATTAACTGATTTAATATATGTTTTTTTCGCTACACAGTTCTAACCATGTTTAAAAAATGGAAGCTAAAAGCTTCGAATTTAATTTTGTAATTAAATTAAAGACATTAGTTCCATTTCATCCTCAAGCGAATTTTGGAGTAACTTTTTAAAATTACTGGGTTTCAGATGCACTGCAAATATTCATAATTCACGTTTCCAAGGATACAGAGCAATCCATTCATCCAGACAAGGGGTGGTTGCGTGTTCATTATCGCTGTATTTTGATGTATCAGTTATTAGTTACGTTCGAAGAAGTGTTTTCGTTTAGGTAGGGGTAGGGATGTATTTTTCAATGAATTCTGACATCCTTTGTAAATTTACATTGAGCACTATTTTGTAAAAATAAAAATATCTATAAGAACACCGGATTATATATCTTACTGTTCTTTCTTTTCACACACACACACACACACACACACACACACACACACATACACATATATATATATATATATATATATATATATATATATATATATATATATATATATATATATATATATATATATATATCAATCATTTGCCCCTCTCTTCGTTTGTTCTGGAGACCGTTACGTCCGTCATTATCTCATAAATAATTGACTATTCCGTTTTGATCAAAGGGGAAAAGACAATACATGGTTTTAGTCAGAAGATGAATGAAATAAAGAAAGAAATGAAGACAAAAGTGTTTAACTGCTGCTACAGTGAAATCGAAAAGTTGGGGCAATTTCCTCGTCTCTTCACAAAAGATAAACAAAGTATTAAGAAACAGGAAGACTTCATTAGTAGCAAGGAAATGAGTGCAGAACTTCTATGTAATATCAATCCTCCTATATGCCAATGAATGCTGGACAATCTCTCCATGTCTTCCTAAGGCTAAACAATGTACTAAAAAGTAGAATATTTTGTTAGAAACAAAGAAAAAGTTCTGAACTTCTATTTAATGCCAGTCCGCCCATATGGCAGTGAATGATGAACCATCTTCTCATGTCTTCCAAAAGCTAAACAATGTATTAAGAAACAGGAAGATTTGTTTTAATAAATTCCAAATCGTTTCATTTGCACCCTGCACTTCTTAAAATGATGATGAGCATTCATATTCATGATTGTTAGTGCAATATTTCGTTAAATTTGTTAAGCTCAAATATTTAACGATGTGGGGAATTGCTGTGGAGACTTATGGCCATAGAACTCGCCAGGATCATATTCATTCATTACTTCAGAATTAAGATTCAACAACAAATTAGAATAGAAAACCGTGAAATTTTCACAGGAATTTCTAGTTATTATAACCTTCATTATTATTATTATTATTATTATTATTATTATTATTATTATTATTATTAATAATGATTTTTATTATTATTATTATTGTTATTATTATTATTATTAATAATGATTTTATTATTATTATTATTATTAATTAATAATAATAATGATTTTTATTATTATTATTAATAATAATGATTTTATTATTATTATTATTATTATTAATAATGATTTTATTATTATTATTATTTTTTTATTTATTATTATTATTATTAATAATGATTTTTTATTATTATTATTATTAATAATGATTTTATTATTATTATTATTTTATTTTATTATTATTATTATTATTAATAATGATTTTATTATTATTATTATTATTATTATTAATAATAATTTTATTATTATTATTATTAATAATGATTTTATTATTATTATTATTATTATTAATAATTTTTTATTTTATTATTATTATTATTAATAATGATTTTATTATTATTATTTTTAATGATTTTATTATTATTATTATTATTATTAATAATGATTTTATTATTATTATTATTAATAATGATTTTATTATTATTATTATTAATAATGATTTTATTATTATTATTATTATTATTAATAATGATTTTATTATTATTATTAATAATAATGATTTTATTATTATTATTATTATTAATGATTTTATTATTATTATTATTATTATTAATGATTTTATTATTATTATTATTATTATTATTATTATTATTATTGGCGCGTGGTTAAGAGATTGGAAAGTTTTGTAGCCACTACTGGAACTGGACACAAATCTCGCTAAGTTCGCTTCTTCAAAAAAGTAAGTTATGTTTGGGATGCCGTCCCAGCGTGCGGTACTGTTGGTAAGTGTTTGAAAATCATGCCATCTATTGATCCAAGCCTTGTTCCGAAGTCTTCGATCATTGTGCTTGCCCGAAGTTACAAATCATGTCATCGTGACCAAGGATTTGAGACTACTGACATTGCTTAACATCTGATCACATTTTGTTATTAACAGACATACAAAACATCTTCTATTCTATAAATTTAATTGGATTTTGTTATCATTTCAAGGAAATCGATAAGTCTTGGAAGCGTCGTCAGTAAAGTTGTAGGGGGCAGTTGAAGATATCAAGTGTGAAATCAACAAAGCCCGACATGCTTTTAACACTCTGCCGCCAATCTGGATTAGCTATATTTAGCTGTCCCCCACGTGGGGTAGCATGTGGCACAAGGCCGAGTTTTATGTTGGTCATCCGAGCCCGTAGGCCCGGCCAAAAATATAGCCTTCGAACCCGCCTAGGCAAAGCTTTGTCCGGGTTCCTCCCTGTTAATGCAGAGAGTTAGACAGACGGCGGTTGCTGTAAGCTTGATACAGCTATCTGGATAGCAACAACCCTCTCACTTTACAACACGATCCTGATCTTCAACACCCAACGTCAACTCGGTCGTACTTTATGGCTCAGAAACCTGGCGGGTAACCAAGACCAGCGTCCACCATGACTTCAGATATTTACCAACCGATGTCTCAGGAAAATCCTTAATATCAGGTGTCCGGAAGTCGACGAGACAACAACGAGACAAGCCCCAATCTAGATTGACATCAAGAAACGGAAATAGGAATGGATCGTCTACACACTCCGCAAGCCTGTTTCTAGTGCCCCCCACCAAGCAGGACATTGACTAGAATTCCCAATGGAAGCGAAAAGTGGGTCGACCAAAACAGACTTGGCACAGAAGAGTTGACGCAGAGGTGAAGGCAGGTGGCACGACATAATCCGAGCTGAAGAGGATCGTCCAGAACCGAGTCCGTTGAAGAGGTGTTGTTGCGGTCCTATGTTCCCCGAGGAATCAAGAGGCATATTAAGACGATAAATCTACTATAACGCTGGGGGTTACTTTGAGTGAATAAAACTGAGAAAACGTTGAAGGGAAGGCACTAAAAGACTAGGATTCAAGGAGAAAGATGACGATTGACGTTTCATTTAAATTTGTGAAGAACATAGAGGATAGGAAAACAAGTAGCTGGTATAGATTTACTCAGGCAAAGAAACTATTAGCATAGATCTTAACTTTACACTTAGAAATATTAGCAATAATATTATGGAACCAAACGATCAATTAAACTACGATTACATTCATGAAGTCGGGTTACCGAATAAGAGCTCTCATAGATTTTAGTTCAACTATTAATTTATGATTAGTTTTTCTTTTCAACTGGCTTTAATTGCTTTTTCATCACAACATTCAGGCTGTATTTACATTCTACGACAGTCAAACAATGATCAAGGATC